CGGCATTCCCTGTACCTTAATGGAAATAAGATTATATATACAACAATGGAGTATTGTTTTACCCCCTCTTTTTGTGCCTTTCATTATTTCAGGTCACCTTTAATGGATCATTTGATCACATGAATATTGATGCAACCAGGTGAGCTTGATGTCCATTAAAAATCAGTTTTTGTGTGACTTTTAGGGTAGTTATTATTAAAGTTAACAAACTTATCATTTATCTTGTTTTGTGATTGGATGACAGTTTAAAAAATCTTTTTAATATCCATGCATTTTTTTTTCTCTTTAATAAAAAATGATTTATTTTTATAAATTATTCTTTCAGTAGTAAAATTTAGATATAAAGTTCAATTTACTTTTCAGTGTTATCTGTTTGGCCTATGGGATTCATAGTTAAAATTTAATGACAGCGTCCAAAATTTGGAAATTATTGAGCCATTTCATTCTACCCTTCTGGGAACAAGCAACAAAAAGAGAAGTCTGTTTCACATGCTCAAGACAACTAAAACAATCGGAGGGTATGTGATGATTCACACGAGTTTCTTGATGCAGCATTACTTGTTTGACATTGTATTTGTTTACTTCAGGACTAGACTACTTCGTGCCAATCTGTTGCAGCCTCTAAAAGACATTGAGACAATCAATGCTCGTCTTGATTGCCTAGTCAGTGCCAATCTTATTTTTTAAACTTCTCTTTTTGTGCTATGACATATGCTCCTTTTTAGTTAAGATGTTGAGGTGTTCCTCTATTTTCTAGACTTACAATTCTCTTTATATTTTCCACCATTTTTACGAGTCCACCCTAATTATAGATTTCAGTCCAGATGTTATTCTTCTTTAACCTTCAGTGCTCTTGTCTGAAACTCAGGTGTTTATATATACTATTATTGCCTTTTCATTCATTTGAGTTCTGATTTTAATTTTAAAGATTGAAAACCACCTGAAAGAGTTTTTAACTGAATTGCTTTGTATTTATTCTGTTTAACATGTTCTCTAATATTTCATTTTTAGGATGAGTTGATGAGCAACGAACAACTATTTTTTGGCCTCTGTCAGGTTTTGCGGAAATTTCCAAAAGAGACAGGTAATTAAGAGCAGTAGTTGAACAGATATCAGTTTTTAAGCCGTTTATACATCTGTAGTAGTAATGGAGAACTGTATGGTTTCAGATAGAGTATTATGCCACTTCTGCTTTAAGCCAAAGAAAGTTACAGCTGAGGCCTTGGCAGTTGACAGAGCTAAAAAGAGTCAAGTGCTAGTATCTAGTGTAATCCTCCTTAAGACTGCTTTGGATTCCATCCCTTTACTATCTAAGGTATATCTCTCTCTTTCACAGCCTTACACTAGAATCAGGGAGGTATTCCCGAGTAATTGAATAAGAAAAGTGGTTATAGATGATTCTTTCTTCTGCTAAAAATATCAGGTGCTTAAGGACGTGAAAAGTTCCCTTCTTTCAAATATATACAAGTCAGTATGTGAAAATGAGAAATATGACCTTATTAGGAAAAGGTACTAAGATTTTCTTTTGCATATGAGTATGTTCATCTGTTACATGTTGATGAATATATTGTATGTAAATCCATTTATTACTTGAGTTTGTATAATTCTCAAGCTATAATGATGGAAAATTTTTTTGACCAGACTACTCAGAGTAAAATATTATGCAATCAAATAATCAACAATTATTTGTTTTCCATATTACAAAGGCTATGACAAAGTTTATATTAACCTAAATTTTCTTCCATTATGATATAGTTTTTGTCTAATAAAAATTGCTTCATCCTAATTAATTGTACGTACGCATTACATAATTGGTCTGTTCTTAATATCCATAGGATTATGTAAAAAAAAACCCATAGGATAAAAAATATATACATTTTCTACCCATTGCTTTTGAACCAAGGATATTTGATAGAAGACTTTATACTGTATATGGTCACATACTCACATGCCATTGGCATAAATGTTTTCTGAGTAACATACTTAATGGTTAAAAAAAAAACTTACATTTTGAATACTTGCAATTACATTTAATTCCAACCATGACAAGAAAACCAATCAAATCATGTCTTTCGGAGTTATTTTTATTACAGGATAGGGGAGGTTATTGATGAAGATGTACTTCATGCACGGGTTCCTTTTGTTGCCTGCACTCAGCAATGCTTTGCTGTTAAGGCTGGGATTGATGGCCTCTTGGATATTTCACGAAGATCGTTTTGTGAAACCAGTGAAGGTTTTATAATCTGCTTGCTTGAGTTTTCTTTCCTGTCAACGGTGTAACCTTTCTTCGAATACGGCATACTATATCTATTTTCTCAAAGCATTTGGTGTTACTTTTGCAGCCATCCACAATCTTGCAAACAATTATCGAGAGAATTTCAAGTTGCCCAATTTAAAGCTTACCTTTAAAAACAGGCAGGGATTCCACTTTGTTATACCACAGAAGAATATTCAAGGAAAGCTTCCAAGCAAGTTCATTCAGGTTAGGGATCGGATTTTTGTTTCTATATATTTAAGAATACCCTTTAAAAAGTTCTATTTTCCCTTAACCTTCTATTCTTTTGGCTTATATTAGATTGTAAAACATGGGAACAACATTCATTGCTCAACTTTGGAACTTGCATCTGTGAGTAGTTTTTGACCATTTGGATTTTATGAACATATGAACTCTATTCACCTTTCAATTTTGGTGAAAAGATAAAATTATACACATGAACTGAAATTGACAAATTGCGCTTGTTGACATTATAATTGTAGTACTTATGTAAAGGCTGTGGCATTAACTTTGATGAGATCATGGTCCAGTTAACTCCATTATACCAGCAAGAAAATGATTACTCTGATCAAGAATGCATTCTCTCAGTGAGATTTTCTCATGATTAGGTCACGTGGAAAGTTTGTGTCTATCTCTCCCTTCATCATAAAGATTAAAATTTGGTTGTCTATGAAGAGAGGTACTCGCAAATTTTTCACGTGGCAAAATAATGTAAGAATTTTACACGAGATAATTCATTTCTGTACCATATGCTAAGGACGCTTGTAAGTTGTCACGTTGATTGGCATTTTGGCCTTTCGTTGGTAAAATTGTCTTGATTTTTTTGGTTGGACCTAAAAAGCTTTTTGATTCTCAAACTGAAAAAATTATTCAAGCTTCTGACTAAAAATATGACACATAAAATGCAGTTGCATTTGTTTGATATGTTACCACACTGTAAGATGTTGCTTTGTTCTGAATCTTTTTTAGGCTCTTGAAAAGGCTCCATTTTTATTTTATTTTAATGAAACTTTCAGTTGAATGCTAGGAATAAATCTGCAGCTGCAGAATGCTATACAAGAACAGAGATTTGTCTAGAAGGTAGAACTTGACTTACTGCCATTTGCCGGTACAAACTTTCACAGGCTTGGCATGTTTGCTCTTTGTTTATTTGTGCATGAATTGAACAACTCCCGTGCTTTGGCAAGTAACTAGAATGGAAACTACTGTAAGATCACTTCATTAGTTGGAAAATTTTGGCTTTTGCATTGGATGTCAGCAACAGACTCTTGAAATAATCTATATTATTCATGGGATTTAGACAAGAAATCATGTAGGTTATTGTGAGAAGTAACAAGAGACTCAAGTTATCAAAATCAGAATCCTATGCTGGCCAGTGCATGTCTCAGTTAACATGGAAAGAATTAAATTATGGATTTAGCTCTAGTATTTGCTATCAGTATTTTAAAAGATAATGGACATATAATTAGTCCTTTCATAGAACGAATGCATGCCTCAATTAACATGATATAAACCATCTCATAATATATTTGTTTAACTAGTTATTTTGCAGGAAAATATTATATTATGGATTTAGCTCTAGTATTTGCTCTAAGTATTTTAAAAAGAGAATCAAGACAATTTAAAGGAATATTGGTTACATGAACTGGCAATGTTTTCAATCAAAAACATTTGAAAGAGAAAATGCTAAAATTCAATCCACCTATTCAATTGAATTTTGTCTTTACTAAATGTTAAGAATTGCAAAATTAATTATAACAAATTGATATCTAGATAGTGATCCTATCTATTTAGCTCTTTGGACTCGCACTATCTCGTATTTTCTGGAATTGCATTTATACTTATTGTAATAGAAAAAAAAATACAGAACTTATGGATGACATTCGGGAGAATGTCTCAGTGTTGACACTGCTTGCTGAGGTCTTGTGCTTGTTGGATATGATTGTAAATTCCTTTGCTCATATGATATCAACTAAGCCTGTTGATCAATATACAAGACCAGAATTTACAGGTAATAAAATTGATAATATCTATAAAATTATTGTAGATTAATGATGAAATTAATTTATTAATATTTTGTTTTATTTGATAGAGAATGGGCCAATGGCAATTGATTCTGGTAGACACCCAATCCTGGAGAGCATACACAACGACTTTGTGGTAAGTAATGAGTATATCAATTCGTCATTAATCATTATAACTTACCCCACAGGACCACACTTTTCTCAGTTAGAAGGATTCTTCATTTTTTTTTTGGTATTAATTAATCTTTTGCATTGCAGGCAAATAATATTTTTCTGTCTGAAGCCTCAAATATGGTGATTGTGATGGGACCCAATATGTAAGGAATTTCTGTTACATGTCTAAGGTGTACGGTTAAATAAAGGAATATCGGGTCATAAAATTCCTTATGAGCTTATATCTAGCGCAGGAAATGACGGCTTTTCAGCCAAAATAAATAAAAAGATAATAAAATACTAAAAATAAATTATTTAAAAAATTAATTATCAAAATAAATTGTTTCTGTCATATAGATAACATTACAAACGAAATATGTTTGTAATATGGATGTAATACTTGAAAATAAAAAATAACAAAATGTATATCTTCTTAAACATAATTTGTTTAAGGATTTATTTTGGGGATGAGGGTCGTTTGAACATAAAAGCCTAAGAGGCAGGTATTTTGTGTTTATTGTCAATTTGAATATGTTTATATTTAGTTGGTAATGTGTATGATTTTGGATAAGTTAATTTCTTTATTTATAAATTTTAAAGTATTTAAAAAGAATTTGAAAATAGGCATACAAGCATTTTATTAGTATATAAGTTTTTTGAAATATAAATTCAAATATAATTTTTTTTTTTGGAAATGAGACTATTTGAATACAAAATGTTTAGCGGGTAAGGTTTGAGATTTCGGGTTTAAGAAATAGACATTTTGTATTTAAATTGATAATGAACACTAAAAGTTTACTCGTGAATATTTTGTGTTCAAATGATCTCATCCTTAAAAAAGATTCTTATAGAAATTATGTTTAGGAGAGAATGCGTTTTCTTTTTTTTGTTCATTTTTTGTTTCCAAGCATTATATCCATTCTTTTATTTCAATAATTAATTTTTAAATAATTTATTTTTGATATTTTATTTATTTTGGCCGAAAAGCCGGAAATGACCTATTCATGAATCATGACCAAATGCTTCTACGTTGAATGAGGAAACATTTACGGGCATACTAATGATGAGCCAAAAGGAAAAAGGATTCCAAACGATTTAACTTAATGCCTTATTTATGAACTACAGCGAAATTTTACTTTCTTTTTGGATGGATATCTGTTTACATGAAGAATATCAAAATTTGATATTTATTTTCTATATTCCTTTCTCCCAGGAGTGGAAAGAGTACTTACCTTCAACAAGTGTGTCTCATAGTTATTCTTGCTCAAGTGGGGTGTTATATTCCTGCTCGTTTCTCAACTCTGAGGGTAGTTGATCGTATGTTTACAAGGATGGGCGCAGTTGATAATCTTGAATCCAACTCTAGCACGGTACAATTTCTAAATACCTGCATTGTGAGGTGATTTGATCCTGATCACGCGGTTTAGAATAATAGATGAAGTTATCTGTATGTGTAGTTCATGACGGAGATGAAAGAAACAGCTTTTATCATGCAGAATGTCTCACAAAGGTAATGAATGCTACACCTTTTGATCTTCTTCACTCTAGGTGCACACGACAGTTTTTAAATTTTTTTTTTTTGTTGGATAAAGGAGTCTGATTGTTATGGATGAACTTGGGAGGGCTACTTCGTCGTCTGATGGATTTGCAATTGCGTGGAGTTGCTGCGAGCATCTTTTGTCACTTAAAGCGTAATTGTTTCTTGATTTTCAGTTATCAGTAAGCATTAACAACAAGTTCAGTTGCATGGATTTCTGATAACTAATAAATTGAAAGTCTTATGTAGCTCTTCAGATTCCTATCAATCAAGTGGAAAATAAATTTCCTTTAGTATGATTTGGCGTTGAATTGTTTACTGTAGGAAAACTGGTAGAATTTTCATCAACCATCAAAGGAGCATATTGTTGTAATTGATCTTTCTCTCACTCCTGCGCCATAAATTTTTATCCTTCTTCAGGTATACCATATTTGCCACACATATGGAGAACCTATCGGAGTTAGCTACGACCTATCCCAACGTAAAAATTCTTCACTTTCATGTCGACTTAAAGAACAACCATTTGGACTTCAAGGTGGTATTTTTACATTTTTTCTTGTGTTGGGATGACTATCTGCGAGCTAAAACTCTGCTTCATTTAGTTTCAACTTAAGGAAGGATCAAAACGTATCCCCCATTATGGTCTTCTCTTGGCAGAAGTGGCAGGATTACCAACTTCGGTTATTGAGACTGCCAGAATGATCACATCTAGGATTTCGGAAAAGGTGACCACACAACTTATCAAAACTAGGGTGTTAATTTTAATTCTGTTAATCTTAAATTTCAATGAGAAGATAATCAAGCTTAATTCATAAAATTAGAAATACTCAAGTTGGAAATTTCAAATCTCCCTCCATTGGTTTGATTAGATATATAGCAGGAGTCTGAAGAGAATCAAAGTGCTTAGAATTTGAAGGGGTTTTGATTTTTGAATGGTTCATTGGTGTATTTATAAGCAAATTAATACAGAACTGCATGTAAATATTACGTCAGCCACAATGGAAAAAAAAAAAAAAGTCGTTCCCTCGTTCACGTCTAGTTCATTATAAAAAGTTGCTTGAACAGGGTAATTAGCGCTCTCCATTTCTGTTAAGATTTGAACAGTAAAATCGACATCTATACACGTACATCTAAATTGCCCGATATTGTAAAATCATCAGAACGTAAACTTAGGTTTGTTGAGCGTTATTGATATCCATTGATACTACTATTTCGTGTTTTTAGAAGACAATCTGTCAAATGTCAACACAAACCAGTACTAACATCGTATGTTTGCTGGTGTCATTAGGAAGTGAATAGGATGGAAGTCAACTGTTTACAGTATCATTCTATACAAAGAACATATCATGTTGCACAGCGCTTGCTTTGCCTGAAATATTGCAATCAAGATGAAGATACTATACGGCAAGCCTTGCGTAGTCTTAAGGAAAGCTGCACTAAACAACAGTTTTGAAGTCGACAATAGGATCACTGAATGAGCTTTAATTCTTCATGCTTGAGCAACTAATTAAAGAATTTAATGGTTGCAAGTGTAAAAAAAATTGCACTTAGAACCAAAATATTCAACGGCCTACCATTTGAACAGCAGATAAAAAAATAAAATGATCAATAATTTGTCTAGATTGAATAAATTACCAAGTTTCGTTGATTTACATATTCAATTATTAAGAATTATTGAATTTTATATTTTTTTATTTCACAGGTTATATTTAGAAAATGTAAAAAATCAAACTATTAATCTTAAATGTATAACTGATAATATTTTTCATAGTAGACATTAACAAATTTGAAACGAGTAATTTAATCACGCCATCAAGGTTTGAACAAGACTAACAAAAGTTCGACTTTATAAAAAATATTAAAGTTGAGGGTACCATGGAAATGGCAGGCACAGCTACTCAAATCCGAAGGCAGATAACAAATATCAATTATAAACTTTAAATTTAACATTAGAAAAACTCTTCGACTAATTTCAAAAGATATGATTCATGCGTTCAAAACTCAAATTTCAAAGTCAAAACACCAAATGCTATGTCCTCAAAGTAGTATTCAGAAAATGAAGCAAAAGCAGAAAAATTAACGGTAACGGCGAAGGGACAGGGTGTTGTTTCTCTTCCAGGTTGCCCTGCGGGATGGACGTGCTTTGTGGTACAAATGCCCTCTGCCCCGTAAACCCCTGTTGCTTTTCCCAGCAGAGGTGAGCCCACGCAGCTCCCTGTGCTTATGCACTGGATTGCAGAGCCAGTTGATTCTCGGGTCATTTCTAACAGCAGTATGAGCAACATCTACCAGAATTACCTCAAAGTACTTATAAGTAGAATCCTGAAACACAATTGTAGGTTTTTACCAAACCATCTTATGATTCACAACCACATTTCAATTTAAACAAAAGCAATATAACAACAAACCTCATTCACCCAATAAGAGTTGAGGACCCTAAGTCCACCCAGCTTCCGTCCTGCTCGCTCCTCAGCAACTGACCTCTTGCTCCGCTGAAATTTCAATTGAGTAACACCCTGGTTTGTTGGCTTCCCATAAACAATACCCTTGGGAACTGGTCTCTTGCGGCCACCCCTCCGAACACGAACACGGTAAACCACATAACCCTGCAGTGTCGTCATCACAATCAACACAACTGATACAAAAAAGAGAATGTGCAACATCTACACAACAGACACACTTGGCACAATAATCCAACAGAGTCAATGAAATAAGTAAATCAAACAATACAATTAATGCCTTATCCTCACAAGTCACAGAGTATGCAGTAACTGAAATAAAAGAGCATACTAGTAAATTAGTCATTAGTAATCAATAAAATAAAATTATGAGAAGTTAATAACATAAATAGTTACCTGCTTAGCCTTATAGCCCAAGCGACGAGCCTTATCTGGGCGAGTAGGCCTTGTTAAACGAACAATGGAAGGTTGCTGCCTGTACTCCCAGCACCTCACACGCTGCAAGAAGCGCATGACATCAGACTGCTTCTTGCGCCATAACTCTGAAACATACTTGTAGGCACCTATTGCCAATGACACCAACAAATACAAAGCAAATGTTTTATCAATTACACTTCTTCAAACACAAGTACTCCATTATTTTTATCAGAATAACCAATAACTATACATGAAACTGCACAACCTAATTAAACATTAACCTTTCCATAATTAAGTTCATGGAAATAAATTACAAAATACCTATAGAAAGACACAATTTAAATTCACAATACTCTGTAGTTAAACCTAATTTGAGTGTAGACCCCAAAATTGTACAGCATTCAATTTGATATCGGGTAGAGACAAGTGAGATCACACAACAGGATTACACTACCAAAAATCAATTGTGCAATAGACAGCACACAATTTGCTAAAACAGCTAACTCTCGTTCTTAAATGACCAACCCTATTTTAAAAACCCTCGGATCTATCAATCAGCATGAAAAATTCTTTCAGGATCGAAGTAAATATGCTCACAGATGAGTTCCTACAAAGCTAACAGAACAAGTAAAAATTATATACACTCAAGACTACTGACATATGCTAATGCAGGCAGCAGCAAACCAAACACGATACGAAAAACGAAAAAAAAAAGTATAGATAAGAATCGAAGCAAGATTTATGAAAGACAAGACTAACGATTATGAAGCAAATAAAAATATCCATTGTAGAACTACAGACTTAACTCCGACCAATAGCACTAGCTAGAAAAATAAAGGAAAAAGAAATATAAAAAATGGGACACAATGAAAAACAACCATGCCGGTTCGAGTTAGCGAAATAAACGTTGCTCTTTCTCTTAGTTTAGGTTTTGAACCAAAAACCCAATACCCTCATAAGGAAGCTCTAGGCAAAACAATAGAGAAAAAGTTATCTAATCGATGTTATTAAACGAAATAATCATTCGCATTCAGACACCAGATCAAATGCATTGAGAAATCTTAACACAAATGCAAAGGAAAAGAGAAAGAGATAGTACCCATCGCGCAGTCACCACAGTGGAAGGGTTCTACCTCACCCACGCCAACCTAGAGCTAGGGTTTCTGAATCAGTTTAAATATTTTATAGAGCCACCATTGCTTATATGGGCCTCCGGTCTCACAATTGGGCTTTTCTTCTCTGTTTTTTGGGTCCGGCCTGTGTTGCTCATCTTTCTGAAACTTGGTGAGACATTTGGTTCAAATTTTTTTTTTTTGTTTTACTCAACAAGAAGCACCTTTTACCCTTGTTGGAAAATAATGCTTAGTATTTTTATTTTTATTTCTAACAACAGCTTAGTATGTTTCTTCTTTTTCAGTAAACTATTGAGGAGAACGGTCTTACGCACGGATATATATTATTTTTTTGGTTTAATTATTTTTTCTTTACAATTTTATAAAATTTATTTTTTTTATCTCTATAATTTAAAATATTTCTTTTTATTCTTATACATATATTTTTTTTTTCAATTTTAATCCAATTGTATATTTTCATAAAGATTAAAAGAGAAAGTTTATGTAATTATAAAGATCGAATGATAAATTTTTTAATTATAGTGACTAAAATGTAAATTTTATAAAATAATAAAGACTAAAAAAGTAGTTAAATCTTATTTTTTCTTTTAAAATATAGTATATGTATTTTTTATATTTTAAATATTTATGTGATAAATTATAAAATGAAAAGATCAAATTTTAACTTATTTTACGTATTTATAAAAGATTTTTGATGAAATTTTAAATTATATTAAGTATACATGTATATAGAAACTTATTTTTACTTTTGTTGTACTTGAAAATGAACACAATAATATTGTTTATGCTAAGATAGTCAAACAATATTTTTTTAATCAATTTTGACAGAAATAATAATTTGTGTGATTTATGAACACAATAATAATATATAATCTTAATCTTGTATTAATTGGTAGAGTAATCACTATATATATATATAATTAAAATTAATATGAAAATTGTGCAAAATATTTAAGTTTAATTTAATTTAAAAATTTTGATTTTCTTATTGATTTATAAATATTTTAAAATTACAATTTCTAAAAATTATTTAAAAATATATATACTTTTTTTATAACATTATATTGTTATGAAATATTCATTATTAAAAGAGGTAGTTAATCCTCGTTCAAGACTTTGAGAGCATTATGAGAACCACAGACATATATCCAGTACTTTTCTCTCAATATAATCTATTTTTTAGTTATAATTCAAATTTTAAACAACTTAGAAAAAAAATATGTTATTATCATTATAAAATTTATATAATTTAAATTACTGATTATATATATTTTACGCTAATTATGAATATCACTTAAAATAATCACTCAAACTTTTAATAAATAGTTGTTCCTTCATTTGGAGATGGAACCTAGTTTTGCACAATTGGTTGAACTCTGTCTGAAAAATTATGAGTAACCTATATATAAGAGTACATGACCTACACCATGTCTTTGGCACGTTAGTATTAGACTCAAAATTTAAATGAGTGGTGTTGCTAGTTGCATGCATTTGTTGCAGAAGCTTTTGGATGAATGTTTGTTGGTGCAGCATCTTGTATCAAGTCACTGCCACGAATCAGCTATGGCCGTAGATCAGAAACAGAGCTTGATGAGGGCCACGAACCCTTCTATTCCTTTCTCAGAATAAACTTTATTTCTAAAAGTACATATTTAGTATTTCATGCTTGCACGCGACACAACAATGTACAACCAAAATCAAAGACCACTTTCCACTTATTAAGCTTGTTCGGCTTCAAGGATTTTGCCACTTTACTTAACATTCTTAAAAATAAATTATTTATTTTTTTCCAAAAGAAAGATATTGAATAAAAAATAAAGCTTAACCAAAAGTGTAATCAAATCACTTATGCTGTGTTTGGTTTGAAAAAATATTTTCTATTTCTATTTTCAGTTGTTATTTTCTGAAAATATTTTTTTTTCCATTTTTTCAAAATTTAGAAAACATGTTTGTTTTAACTTCTCATTTTCTATTTCTTGAAAATAAAAATATTAAAAATATGTTTGGTTTAACTATTTTTTTTATAATAAGAATATCTTTATATTTTTTTATATTAATATACATGTTTCTATATTTCATTTAAAAAGAAAAAAAGAGATCTCAACCTGCATACAAAGAGACATAATAATTTACTAAAATTATAAAATATTGCATTCTTTTACTTTAAAACAATTTGTAACAAATAAATAGGTATAATAATAATAATAAATATTATCTTTTATGATAACTATTTTAATATTTAGTAATTTTGGATTTGTTATTAATATAAAAGTGCTTCCAAATACAATATATATATTATTTATGATAGTACTTTATAAATTTATTAAATTATTTAGATGATTGCAAAATCAACTAAATGAAATTATGTAACAACTGTGACATTTTTTTATATAATTTATTTGTTAATTTATCCTCACTATACAATATGATCAAAAGAAAGATCAGAGAACTGAGTGACACCAAGTGCAAGTAACTTCCATAAATATCACTCCATTGTCAGGTATATGTCTGAATTAAAAAAAAAAGTAGAAAATAATTAAGTTATGATTAAAGTTACAAATCTTGCAACTGCATTTTCTTTCTTACAAAAAATGGTGAAAATAACAATTTTTTATTTTTAAATTTCCACTTATTTTTAAAAATATTTTTTAAAAAAATGCTTTTAGCAATTTAATCACCGATATCATTTCCTATTTTTTTTAAAAATGAAAATAGAAAACAACTAAACTAAAGAACTATTCCTTTACTAAGGATTGGAATTTTTAGGAGTATGAGGATAGTTTGGCAAATTCGAATATCTAGTTAAAAAAAAATCCACATTTAGTGTTCCACAATAACTTGAGTCACAATTGTTTTCGAAGAAGAATAATGTAAAAAAAACTATTTCTTTTCTACATGTTTTTTTTGTTCTCTTTAATTAAGAATATAATTAAATACAATTTTAGTCCTAAAATTTGTCTCCCCTCGGACATCTATTTATAAAAATGCGTGTCATATATAATTCCTATTTTTATAAACAAAGGATCTATTTTTTTTAAGGATAAAGACCACCAGTTCTTACACATTAAAAAGAACCTAAAAAGAGGCAAAATAGTTTTTGAGGGGCTTAACGAGCATTCCTATATTTAAATAGAGAAAGATACATTTAATCCTTAAAATGATATTTCAAAATATAACATGTTACAGCAAAAAATATTATTTTATTTGTTTAAAATAAATTTCACTTTTCATTAAGAGAAAATAATTTATATATCACCATTATAAAAGATTTTTATACCATAATTCAATCACAAATTGATGTATATAATAAATTTGTTAATTTTTAAAATAATTATCTTAAAATTATATATATTATATTTTCTAATTTTTTCATAATATATATTTTTTAAAACAGATATTATATCAAAATTAAATTCTTTCATTTTTTAAATTTTTAATGAATTTGTACTATTTATAAGAGGCACTACCGTGTGTCCTTTTTTGTGTACATTTTTTATTATTTTATTTTTGTAACTTTTAAAACACTTTCTTCTTTCATAGTTTATTATTATTATTATTATTTTGACTTAATTTCTCTAAATTTAGTTTTCAAACTTCTCACATTATCTAAAGCTATTTATATTCTCTAATTATTAACTGTTCACTTATATTCAATTTTAATTATTTATTATTTAATTTTTAAACAAAATACCCAGAAAGGATCAATGTTTTTGTTTTTTCAGCCGGTAAACATAAAAAAGTTGTTTTACAAGAACCTTTAATCTCCATGATTGTGTTCTCTAGCTTTTTTTTTGTTTAGAAAAAAGCAAACGACAGATTGAAAGTTGAAACTGGAACACAATATCTGGCAATGAACAATGAAGTTTCTCATGACTTGTGCTGTGGCACGATGATATGGAATATAGATCTGAGACAAAGACAAGAGCGAAATACAACAATAGTAACCAATGCCCAAATAAATAGTTGGAGACACTAAATCTGACTGTCAGATATGTGAAATTAAAGCTTCGAGAAGGTACGTAGTTTTAGTACGTACTCTTCTTCTTCACTCACAAGTCACGATAGGTAAACCAAGCAATCCTCCAACACAAAGACTCGTTTCTTCACATGCACGTTCTGATTAGTGATTTTCCAAATCAAAATCTATAAATATTCCGAAAGCAAATAATTATCCCTTTGATTTTCGTACATGTGTACATATCTATAAAGAGTAAAAAGTAAGATCATAACATTTGAAATCCTTAAATCTAAAGCCTTTTGAAAAAATTAAAAAGGCTGAAGCGGTCAAAAGGTTGATCGAGTTTGGTAAGCTTTGAGATTTCATGTAAAATATGATTATGGGCAACAGAAGCAAAACGTGGAGTAGACGATTGTGCAAACATGCATACTAAATAGTTGTTTTGTAAGTAATAAAAAAGTTTAGAGAGTATTTAGAAGACATTTTGGAAAAAGTTATGGAGCATTTTTAAATTATAAAACTAATCTATATTATTTTTTTAATTTTTTTTAATTTATTACAATAGTTTTCTGATTAAAATTTATTAAAATAGATTGTTTTTTAAACTCATTTTTATTAAGTTTATTAATTTCATTTTTTAATCAAAGATATGAATCTGGTCCTTGTTTTGAATATAGAGTCATAATTAAAAGTATTATTTTATTTTATAGAAATCAACATAGTAAAAAAGAGTTATATCTCTTTATCAAATTATTATTTTAGTAAATTTATTGATTTTTATGTAATAAAAACTTTTCAATAAATACTTAATTAAGTCATTTACTTAATAACATAGTCTCAATTAGTAAAGTTATATATAGAGGGAAGGAAGCATTGAAAATTTGAATATTAAAACGTTTTGAACATTCACTTGAAAAAAAATTATGAACCAGATAAACATACTTTATACGTAATTATTTTTTTATCAAAGAAAAATGTTATAATTTGTATTAAAAAAATGTTTAGCTGAAAAAAATATAAATTATGTTTTCAAACTAGTAGTGAGAGATTGAAATAAAGTGCATAGAGTCCTAAATTTGTATCTTGGTATCATCGTTATAATTTCGACAAACAAAATAGAATTAAAATTTTTACTTTTAAAATCTTATAGAAAAATCCCTACTTAAAATTTCAACTAATATTAATGTTCACTTAAAAGTGAAAAAAAAATATTTTCTTGTAATTTATAAATTCAATTAACACGTTTTCAAGATATTTGATATCAATGTTCTTCTTCAAGAATTTATTATTATTATTATTATTATTTATTCCACCTTTCTGATTAAAAAAAACTTATTTGTACTAATTGCTAATTATTCTAAAATCAATTTATCCTAGTTAAAAAATTGATTACTAACAAACTTTGTATAATACAAGAAATCGTATATATATACACCAATTGATAATTAGTTTAATCTAAATAATTCATTATTGTATATAAGATATTATAAAAATGAAGAAGTTATCACATTGACTAATATTATCTTTATAGAATGATTTATATATTAAGATGGTTTATATACAAAGATGTTAGTAATAGTGGTGAGACTCGCACACATGTATATGGGTCAAGTGGACATGTACATATTCATTTTTTGAAATTAATTATTCATAATATTTCATTTTAATGATTTTTTATTTTTTGACAATTGGAACTCTCTCCCTCCTCACTCTCATATATTTTCTCTTTTTCTACCATGAGTTCTAAATGTTCTTCTTGTTAGTTTTGCAGCCTTAATTCCATTTTTACTACAATTCTAATCTTACTTCTTTTTTTTTTTTTTTTTTTCTGCCATGGGTATCATTGGGTTAGAGATTCATTAATTATGCTTTATAGTATGTGATTCGAATTTTTTTTTTTGTGGAATCCTCTGAAAAATAGAATGTCTTTGTAATGTGTGAGCGTGTAGTAAAAAATTTAAATAATGTCTTTCTTTTGCAACTAATAAATAAATAATAATTTTTTTTCTCTCTTCCACCGTGTTTGTTACGAATATAAAGCGATGGAAGGATTAATGAATGATATCAACGTGAATAATTCCATCTGTTTGATATTAACGCGCATGACAGAGAAGGATGAATAAGAAACAATATGATACCCACGTACACCTGCGCCATTTTGTCCATTTCGCGCGGGGGAGAAAGCAGGAAGGTGCTTCACGTTTGAGTGTAATAAAAAGACTAAAATATTCCTATTTTTAGTGTTTTTTTTATTATTTTGAGATATTTATATCATTCTATATATATTTACTTTATAAGAGAAAAAGAAATATTTATATATAAATATTAGTATAGTTCTCATTTGACAAGGCAGTTTATTATGTAACCAACAATTTATCATAAGCATGAGAAATTAAGACTACTAACACATTTTATTCAGTACTCTCATTAACACATTATTGTTTGACAGATTATGTAAGTTCCACTAAATACAATGATGAGAGTTCAAATTATTTAATGGAACTCACACATATATTGCTAGGACTCCACTAGTTATATATATGATCACATAATAACAAGTACTTAACTAACACAAGCTCACATAAATTGATTAACACATCATCAAGTTCTAGCTAGATATCATCCAATCCAACGCATAGAGTCCTTCCATGGAGAAGTTGAAGAATTCATTCACATCAAAGTTAACTTCCGAGTCCCCACTCCCATCATTGGCCTCTTTATTCTCTACCACTGCTCTTTCCTCAGTATTATTCTGAGTCGAATGTGTTGGTTGTGCCATTGAAGTTTCTGCTTTCACCTTTGTGTGATTAACTTTTTTGCACAAACAAGTATTCCAGTAGTTCTTTATTTCATTGTCTGTTCGTCCTGGAAGCCTCTTAGCTATCAAAGACCACCTTCACAAAAAAATGCGGATCATAATTAATATTCACAACATATATATGTTCCTAATTAACTATGCCATAAATATTCGTAACATATTCTCTAACACACTCTTT